GGCGCACCAGATCGCTGGGCTTCTTAAACTCTTTAGAGCAGTACGGACATCCGTGCCACCGGACCCCGTTCTCCTGCCGGATGGTGCCTGAAAACAAGACCACGCTTACTGATCATCACATGACCTCAAGAACACGCTTACTGATCATCACATGACCTCAGAACACGCTTACTGATCATCACATGACCTCAAGCACACGCTTACTGATCATCACATGACCTCAAGCACACGCTTACTGATCGTCACATGACCTCAGAACACGCTTACTGATCATCACATGACCTCAGAACACGCTTACTGATCATCACATGACCTCAAGCACACGCTTACTGATCGTCACATGACCTCAAGCACACGCTTACTGATCATCAAATGACCTCAAGCACACGCTTACTGATCATCACATGACCTCAAGCACACGCTTACTGATCATCAAATGACCTCAAGCACACGCTTACTGATCATCACATGACCTCAAACACACGCTTACTGATCATCACATGACCTCAGAACACGCTTACTGATCATCACATGACCTCAAACACACGCTTACTGATCATCACATGACCTCAGAACACGCTTACTGATCATCACATGACCTCAAGCACACGCTTACTGATCATCACATGACCTCAGAACACGCTTACTGATCATCACATGACCTCAAGCACACGCTTACTGATCATCACATGACCTCAAGCACACGCTTACTGATCATCACATGACCTCAAGCACACGCTTACTGATCATCACATGACCTCAAGCACACGCTTACTGATCATCACATGACCTCAGAACACGCTTACTGATCATCACATGACCTCAAGCACACGTTTACTGATCATCACATGACCTCAGAACACGCTTATTGATCATCACATGACCTCAAACACACGCTTACTGATCATCACATGACCTCAAGCACACGCTTACTGATCATCACATGACCTCAGAACACGCTTATTGATCATCACATGACCTCAAACACACGCTTACTGATCATCACATGACCTCAGAACACGCTTACTGATCATCACATGACCTCAAGCACACGCTTACTGATCATCACATGACCTCAAGCACACGCTTACTGATCATCACATGACCTCAAGCACACGCTTACTGATCATCACATGACCTCAGAACACGCTTATTGATCATCACATGACCTCAAACACACGCTTACTGATCATCACATGACCTCAGAACACGCTTACTGATCATCACATGACCTCAAGCACACGCTTACTGATCATCACATGACCTCAAACACACGCTTACTGATCATCACATGACCTCAAACACACGCTTACTGATCATCACATGACCTCAAGCACACGCTTACTGATCATCACATGACCTCAGAACACGCTTATTGATCATCACATGACCTCAAACACACGCTTACTGATCATCACATGACCTCAAGCACACGCTTACTGATCATCACATGACCTCAGAACACGCTTATTGATCATCACATGACCTCAAACACACGCTTACTGATCATCACATGACCTCAGAACACGCTTACTGATCATCACATGACCTCAAACACACGCTTACTGATCATCACATGACCTCAGAACACGCTTACTGATCATCACATGACCTCAAGCACACGCTTACTGATCATCACATGACCTCAGAACACGCTTACTGATCATCACATGACCTCAAGCACACGCTTACTGATCATCACATGACCTCAAGCACACGCTTACTGATCATCACATGACCTCAAGCACACGCTTACTGATCATCACATGACCTCAAGCACACGCTTACTGATCATCACATGACCTCAGAACACGCTTACTGATCATCACATGACCTCAAGCACACGTTTACTGATCATCACATGACCTCAGAACACGCTTACTGATCATCACATGACCTCAAGCACACGCTTACTGATCATCACATGACCTCAGATTACGCTTATTGATCATCACATGACCTCAAGCACACGCTTACTGATCATCACATGACCTCAAGCACACGCTTACTGATCATCACATGGCCTCAAGCACACGCTTACTGATCATCACATGACCTCAAGCACACGCTTATTGATCATCACATGACCTCAAGCACACGCTTACTGATCATCACATAACCTCAAGCACACGTTTACTGATCATCACATGACCTCAGAACACGCTTACTGATCATCACATGACCTCAAGCACACGCTTACTGATCATCACATGACCTCAGATTACGCTTATTGATCATCACATGACCTCAAGCACACGCTTACTGATCATCACATGACCTCAAGCACACGCTTACTGATCATCACATGACCTCAGATTACGCTTACTGATCATCACATGACCTCAAGCACACGATTACTGATCATCACATGACCTCAAGCACACGCTTACTGATCATCACATGACCTCAAGCACACGCTTACTGATCATCACATGACCTCAAGCACAAGCTTACTGATCATCACATGACCTCAAGCACACGCTTACTGATCATCACATGACCTCAGAACACGCTTACTGATCATCACATGACCTCAGAACACGCTTACTGATCATCACATGACCTCAAGCACACGCTTACTGATCATCATATGACCTCAGAACACGCTTACTGATCATCACATGACCTCAGATTACGCTTATTGATCATCACATGACCTCAAGCACACGCTTACTGATCATCACATGACCTCAAGCACACGCTTACTGATCATCACATGACCTCAGATTACGCTTACTGATCATCACATGACCTCAAGCACACGCTTACTGATCATCACATGACCTCAAGCACACGCTTACTGATCATCACATGACCTCAAGCACACGCTTACTGATCATCACATGACCTCAAGCACATGCTTACTGATCATCACATGACCTCAAGCACACGCTTACTGATCATCACATGACCTCAGAACACGCTTACTGATCATCACATGACCTTAGAACACGCTTACTGATCATCACATGACCTCAAGCACACGCTTACTGATCATCATATGACCTCAGAACACGCTTACTGATCATCACATGACCTCAGAACACGCTTACTGATCATCACATGACCTCAAGCACACGCTTACTGATCATCACATGACCTCAAGCACACGCTTACTGATCATCATATGACCTCAGAACACGCTTACTGATCATCACATGACCTCAGATTACGCTTATTGATCATCACATGACCTCAAGCACATGCTTACTGATCATCACATGACCTCAAGCACACGCTTACTGATCATCACATGACCTCAGATTACGCTTACTGATCATCACATGACCTCAAGCACACGCTTACTGATCATCACATGACTTCAAGCACACGCTTACTGATCATCACATGACCTCAAGAACACGCTTACTGATCATCACATGACCTCAAGCACACGCTTACTGATCATCACATGACCTCAAGCACACGCTTACTGATCATCACATGACCTCAGATTACGCTTACTGATCATCACATGACCTCAAGCACACGCTTACTGATCATCACATGACTTCAAGCACACGCTTACTGATCATCACATGACCTCAAGCACACGCTTACTGATCATCACATGACCTCAAGAACACGCTTACTGATCATCACATGACCTCAAGCACACGCTTACTGATCATCACATGACCTCAAGAACACGCTTACTGATCATCACATGACCTCAAGCACACGCTTACTGATCATCACATGACCTCAAGGACACGCTTACTGATCATCACATGACCTCAAGCACACGCTTACTGATCATCACATGACCTCAAGCACAAGCTTACTGATCATCACATGACCTCAAGCACACGCTACATGACCTCAAGAACACGATTACTGATCATCACATGACCTCAAGAACACGCTTACTGATCATCACAAGACCTCAAGCACACGCTTACTGATCATCACATGACCTCAAGCACACGCTTACTGATCATCACATGACCTCAAGCACACGCTTACTGATCATCACATGACCTCAAGAACACGCTTACTGATCATCACATGACCTCAAGAACACGCTTACTGATCATCACAAGACCTCAAGCACACGCTTACTGATCATCACATGACCTCAAGCACACGCTTACTGATCATCACATGACCTCAAGGACACGCTTACTGATCATCACATGACCTCAAGCACACGCTTACTGATCATCACATGACCTCAAGGACACGCTTACTGATCATCACATGACCTCAAGCACACGCTTACTGATCATCACATGACCTCAAGCACAAGCTTACTGATCATCACATGACCTCAAGCACACGCTTACTGATCATCACATGACCTCAAGCACACGCTTACTGATCATCACATGACCTCAAGCACACGCTTACTGATCATCACATGACCTCAAGCACACGCTACATGACCTCAAGAACACGCTTACTGATCATCACATGACCTCAGATTACGCTTACTGATCATCACATGCTCATCACATGCTCATCACATGCTCAGTGTGCTTGAGGTCATCACATGACCTCAAGCACACGCTTACTGATCATCACATGACCTCAAGAACACACTTACTGATCATCACATGACCTCAAGAACATGCTTACTGATCATCACATGACCTCAAGCACACGCTTACTGATCATCACATGACCTCAAGCACACGCTTACTGATCATCACATGACCTCAAGCACACGCTTACTGATCATCACATGACCTAAAGAACACGCTTACTGATCATCACATGACCTCAAGCACACGCTTACTGATCATCACATGACCTCAAGAACACGCTTACTGATCATCACATGACCTCAAGAACACGCTTACTGATCATCACATGACCTCAAGCACACGCTTACTGATCATCACATGACCTCAAGCACACGCTTACTGATCATCACATGACCTCAAGCACACGCTTACTGATCATCACATGACCTCAGATTACGCTTACTGATCATCACATGACCTCAAGCACACGCTTACTGATCATCACATGACCTCAAGCACACGCTTACTGATCATCACATGACCTCAGATTACGCTTACTGATCATCACATGACCAAGCACACGCTTACTGATCATCACATGACCTCAAGCACACGATTACTGATCATCACATGACCTCAAGCACAACCTTACGGATCATCACATGACCTGATCATCACATGACCTCAAGCACAAGCTTACTGATCATCACATGACCTCAAGCACACGCTTACTGATCATCACATGACCTCAGAACACGCTTACTGATCATCACATGACCTCAGAACACGCTTACTGATCATCACATGACCTCAAGCACACAGTTACTGATCATCACATGACCTCAAGCACACGCTTACTGATCATCACATGACCTCAAGCACACGCTTACTGATCATCACATGACCTCAGAACACGCTTACTGATCATCACATGACCTCAAGCACACACTTACTGATCATCACATGACCTCAAGCACACGCTTACTGATCATCACATGACCTCAGATTACGCTTACTGATCATCACATGACCTCAACCACACGCTTACTAATCATCACATGACCTCAAGCACAACCTTACTGATCATCATATGACCTGATCATCACATGACCTCAGAACACGCTTACTGATCATCACATGACCTCAAGCACACGCTTACTGATCATCAAATGACCTCAAGCACACGCTTACTGATCATCACATGACCTCAGAACACGCTTACTGATCATCACATGACCTCAAGCACACGCTTACTGATCATCACATGACCTCAAGCACACGTTACTGATCATCACATGAACTCAAGCACACGCTTACTGATCATCACATGAACTCAAGCACACGCTTACTGATCATCACATGACCTCAAGCACACGCTTACTGATCATCACATGACCTCAAGCACACGCTTACTGATCATCACATGACCTCAAGCACACGCTTACTGATCATCACATGACCTGATCATCACATGACCTCAAGCACACGCTTACTGATCATCACATGACCTCAAGCACATGCTTACTGATCATCACATGACCTCAAGCACACGCTTACTGATCATCACATGACCTGATCACCACATGACCTCAAGCACACGCTTACTGATCATCACATGACATCAAGCACATGCTTACTGATCATCACATGAACTCAAGCACACGCTTACTGATCATCACATGACCTCAAGCACACGCTTACTGATCATCACATGACCTCAAGCACACGCTTACTGATCATCACATGACCTCAAGCACACGCTTACTGATCATCACATGACCTGATCATCACATGACCTCAAGCACACGCTTACTGATCATCACATGACCTCAAGCACATGCTTACTGATCATCACATGACCTCAAGCACATGCTTACTGATCATCACATGACCTGATCACCACATGACCTCAAGCACATGCTTATTGATCATCACATGACATCAAGCACATGCTTACTGATCATCACATGACACCAAGCACATGCTTACTGATCATCACATGACCTCAAGCACACGCTTACTGATCATCACATGACCTCAAGCACACGCTTACTGATCATCACATGACATCAAGCACACGCTTACTGATCATCACATGACCTCAAGCACACGCTTACTGATCATCACATGACATCAAGCACACGCTTACTGATCATCACATGACCTCAAGCACACGCTTACTGATCATCACATGACCTCAAGCACACGCTTACTGATCATCACATGACATCAGAACACTTCAGAAACAAGAACAAAAACAATTTCTATTGCACTGTGTAAATAAAGATGGCTTGACTTGATTAGATTTGTCCACTGATGATTGAGTGTGAGTGTTGCAGGCCTGTCCAGCATTACCGAGCATCTGCGGAGGCTTCTTGATGATGCTTCTCTTCTCCTTCTTGAGGACGGTGTCAGTCATGAGGATTCTGGAGGGCGCTGGTCCGTCTCCAGCTGAGGTCGGGGCGAGTGTGTCCGTCTGGAGCTTCTCTGATGCGCTGGGAGCGTCCGGATGAACTGGGATCTCAGTCAGTCCACTGTTCTCCAGAGCTTGCTGGGAAAACACCACAAAGGCTCATGAACCGCATTTCTAACTCACTTTATAATATTTCCTGAGGAACTTTTCTACCCTGAGTTTAGCCCTCGTTTAAAGGGATAGTTCACCCAAAAATGAAAATTAGCCCATGATTTACTCACCCTCAAGTCATCCTAGGTGTGTATGACATTCTTCTTTCAGACGAACACAATCACAAAAAGAGTTATTATAAAAAAATGTCCTGGCTCTTCCAAGCTTTATAATGGCAGTGAAGGGCTGTTTCTGTTTTGAAGTCCATAAAAGTGCATCTGTCCATCATAAAAGTGTATCTGTCAGATGCACATCTGAAAGATGCACTTTTATGATGGACAGATGCACTTTTATGATGGAAAAGATAAACTTTTATGATGGATAGATGCACTTTTATCATGATAGATGCACTTTTATGATGGATGGATGTACTTTTATGATGGAGAGATGCACTTTTATGATGATGGATGTACTTTTATGATGGACAGATGCCCTTTTATCATGGATGGATGTACTTTTATGATGGACAGATGCACTTTTATAATGGACAGATGCACTTTTATGATGGATAGATGCACTTTTATGATGGATGGATGCACTTTTATGATGGACAGATGGCCTTTTATCATGGATGGATGTACTTTTATGATGGATGGATGTACTTTTATGATGGATAGATGCACTTTTATGATGGATGGATGCACTTTTATGATGGACAGATGCACTTTTATGATGGATGGATGCACTTTTATGATGGACAGTTGCCCTTTTATCATGGATGGATGTACTTTTATGATGGATGGATGTACTTTTATGATGGATAGATGCACTTTTATCATGGATGGATGTACTTTTATGATGGATGGATGTACTTTTATGATGGACAGATGCACTTTTATGATGGATGGATGCACTTTTATGATGGACAGATGCACTTTTATGATGGATGGATGCACTTTTATGATGGACAGATGCCCTTTTATCATGGATGGATGCACTTTTATGATGGATGGATGTACTTTTATGATGGACAGATGCACTTTTATGATGGACAGATGCACTTTTATGATGGATGGATGCACTTTTATGATGGACAGATGCCCTTTTATCATGGATGGATGTACTTTTATGATGGATGGATGTACTTTTATGATGGATAGATGCACTTTTATGATGGACAGATGCCCTTTTATCATGGATGGATGTACTTTTATGATGGATGGATGTACTTTTATGATGGACAGATGCACTTTTATGATGGATGGATGCACTTATGATGGACAGATGCACTTTTATGATGGATAGATGCACTTTTATCATGGATGGATGTACTTTTATGATGGACAGATGCACTTTTATGATGGATAGATGCACTTTTATCATGGATGGATGTACTTTTATGATGGATGGATGTACTTTTATGATCGACAGATGCACTTTTATGATGGATAGATGCACTTTTATCATGGATGGATGTACTTTTATGATGAACGGATGCACTTTTATGATGGACAGATGCACTTTTATGATGGATGGATGCACTTTTATGATGGACAGATGCCCTTTTATCATGGATGGATGTACTTTTATGATGGATGGATGTACTTTTATGATGGATAGATGCACTTTTATGATGGACAGATGCCCTTTTATCATGGATGGATGTACTTTTATGATGGATGGATGTACTTTTATGATGGACAGATGCACTTTTATGATGGATGGATGCACTTTTATGATGATGGATGTACTTTTATGATGGACAGATGCCCTTTTATCATGGATGGATGTACTTTTATGATGGACAGATGCACTTCTATGATGGACGGATGCACTTTTATGATGGATAGATGCACTTTTATGATGGATGGATGCACTTTTATGATGGACAGACAGATGCCCTTTTATCATGGATGGATGTACTTTTATGATGGATGGATGTACTTTTATGATGGACAGATGCACTTTTATGATGGATAGATGCACTTTTATCATGATAGATGCACTTTTATGATGGATGTACTTTTATGATGGACAGATGCACTTTTATGATGGATGGATGCACTTTTATGATGATGGATGTACTTTTATGATGGACAGATGCCCTTTTATGATGGACAGATGCCCTTTTATCATGGATGGATGTACTTTTATGATGGACAGATGCCCTTTTATGATGGACAGATGCCCTTTTATCATGGATGGATGTACTTTTATGATGGATGGATGTACTTTTATGATGGACAGATGCACTTTTATGATGGACAGATGCACTTTTACGATGGATAGATGCACTTTTATGATGGATGGATGCACTTTTATGATGGACAGATGCCCTTTTATCATGGATGGATGCACTTTTATGATGGATGGATGTACTTTTATGATGGACAGATGCACTTTTATGATGGATGGATGCACTTTTATGATGGACAGATGCACTTTTATGATGGATGGATGCACTTTTATGATGGACAGATGCCCTTTTATCATGGATGGATGTACTTTTATGATGGATGGATGTACTTTTATGATGGATAGATGCACTTTTATGATGGACAGATGCCCTTTTATCATGGATGGATGTACTTTTATGATGGACAGATGCACTTTTATGATGGATGGATGCACTTATGATGGACAGATGCACTTTTATGATGGATAGATGCACTTTTATCATGGATGGATGTACTTTTATAATGGACAGATGCACTTTTATGATGGATAGATGCACTTTTATCATGGATGGATGTACTTTTATGATGGACGGATGCACTTTTATGATGGACAGATGCACTTTTATGATGGATAGATGCACTTTTATCATGGATAGATGCACTTTTATCATGGATGGATGTACTTTTATGATGGATAGATGCACTTTTATCATGGATAGATGGACTTTTATCATGGATAGATGCACTTTTATCATGGATGGATGTACTTTTATGATGGATAGATGCACTTTTATCATGGATAGATGCACTTTTATCATGGATAGATGCACTTTTATGATGGATAGATGCACTTTTATCATGGATAGATGCACTTTTATCATGGATAGATGCACTTTTATCATGGATGGATGTACTTTTATCATGGATAGATGCACTTTTATCATGGATGGATGCACTTTTATCATGGATAGATGCACTTTTATCATGGATAGATGCACTTTTATCATGGATGGATGTACTTTTATCATGGATAGATGCACTTTTATCATGGATGGATGTACTTTTATGATGGATAGATGCACTTTTATCATGGATAGATGCACTTTTATGATGGACAGATGCACTTTTATGATGGATAGATGCACTTTTATGATGGATAGATGCACTTTTATGATGGATAGATGCACTTTTATCATGGATAGATGCACTTTTATCATGGATAGATGCACTTTTATCATGGATGGATGTACTTTTATGATGGACAGATGCACTTTTATGATGGATAGATGCACTTTTATCATGGATAGATGCACTTTTATCATGGATGGATGTACTTTTATGATGGACAGATGCACTTTTATGATGGATAGATGCACTTTTATGATGGATAGATGCACTTTTATGGACTTCAAAACAGAAACAGCCCTTCAATGCCATTATAAAGCTTGGAAGAGCCAGGACATTTTTATATAACTCTGATTGTATTCGTCTGAAAGCAGAATGTCATACACACCTAGGATGACTTGAGGGCGAGTAAATCATGGGCTAATTTTCATTTTTGGGTGAATTATCCCTTTAAGGGGGCGTGTCTCCTTTAAGACTTTCGATGTAAACACCCACTGCTATAATTGGGTGACATCTCTCTCTCACTGGGACAGGTGTTGTACCTGTAGGATGTCCTGGTTGATGGGCGTGCCGATGGCCTGCCCAGGGGGAGGAGCCTGAGCGCTGTCTGAGGTCACATGGTCCGAGAGCTCCAGCAGCTGCTGGATGACATCAGTCACGCCCTCTGACCCCTCGGGACCCTGATCAACCCTGGCATTCCCCTTCTGAACAACACAGGAACACAGAGGCAGACTTCACAGGTAAGCTGCTGGTGTACATGAGATCAACACGCTTTTCACTCTACAGTTAACCCTGGGTTAGGAAGGGATATAATACAATTTCAAGTAAGGTGAGAAAGAATTTAATGGAAAATATTCCATGAATGGAATGTTGAATGTTGATTATTCTCCTCATCTCCTCTCTTCCCAGTCTGTCAGTAACGCTCTGTTTACTTCCTGTCTCTATGAAGCCCCTCCTTCTGAAAAGCACACTGTTCTCTGATTGGTCGGCTGGAGCAGTGTGTTGTGATTGGGCGAGCGCTTCGAGTGTGTTTGGGAAATGTCCCGCCCCTTTCCATAACCGCCAGTTTAACACACTACTAACTAACTCAACCAGGCCCCGCCCCTTTAATCTGCGTATGAATTATTATAATGAGGAAAATTGTGAAGTGTTCGTTCCCGGAAGAAACTCGAGACTACAATGGAGGCGTTTCAGGAGTTCAGGAACACTGACACTGATATAGAGGAGAACTGGAGCTTTCTCATGATCAAACAGCAACATCACACACTGAAGAGCGATGCTGTATTCAGTGAATGCTCTTTAGAGAGGAGATATCTCGACTGAACTCACCTGTGCTGCTGGCTCCTCTACTTCCATTACTGAGATGTGCATTTTGCTGATGTGAGCGTTGAGGCTGCCGAGCTTCTTATAGACGCAGCTGCAGTCCAGACAGGGGAAGAGCGGAGCACCGGACGCCTGGAACACAGATCTCATCAGCAGAAGTCCCACTCCAGCGGAGTGCAAACCAGTTAGCATTATGATGTTGGCAATATAAAACGAATTATGTGATTGCAGTGAATTTATTTTGGCCATTAACTTTCCTAAAAACCTTGGCAGCACATATCTTCACATCACGAGAATGAGAAGTATCAGTGTGAGACGGAGAAGTACCACCCCAGCTCTACTACAGACACATGACTGTGGGTTTAGCATTAACCAACCCTCATCTTTCCTTCGGGTCATTTTGACCCAAAACTATTTTGACTATTTTTATTTTTTTTAATTGAGTGTTCATCAGAGGGGTCCAAGACCCCAGGACTTTTGTCGTACTTGAACCACGAATACACACAAAAAAGAATCGAGGAGTTTTGTGGTTAAATTTTAAAAAGTAACAAATCGTTCCCTCTCGGGTCAATCTGACCCCCTTAGGAATGAGTGGAATGCGAGGAATGCTTTGGTACACATAGAAAAACCTAAAAATGCTAAAAAATTCAAACTAAATATGCTAAAACATTACCAAAAAATTATTGTATAATGTCTACATGTGTATCTGAATGCACACTGAAGAGAAACTGGCTTTAGGACCCAGCGGAACAGCTCCTCTGCTCCATATAGAGCAATAAGCCCATCTAGAGTCGTGAAATATCATGTGTTATTATTTTATTTTCCTCAAGAGGTCGGCAGAGACGCCCAGTGTAAGATATTTAGAGCTGAATTAAAAGGGTTATGCATGAAACTGTGAGTTATTTTGAATTTAAGTTGAAAGAATGAGAGGAATGTGCTTAATTTACTATTTATTTTTTATTTATTGATCAAATCTAGTCATTTAAAGGTAAATAATTTTTTTTTTAAATTACAAAAAATGCATGGAAAAAATATTATCAAAATGAAACAAAATAAGCTTTTCTGGACAAAATAAAAATAAGTATAATTTTAGGGCTTCACACATACAATTTGTGTTGCAAAGATGATGGGATGTAGGAATGCTGGGTAATGCAGAGGTGTTACCTGGGAGTGGACCCTCTGCACGTGTGAGTGCAGGTTCCCCTTCTGCGAGAAGGATGCGGGACACAACACACACAGGTGAGGCTTCTCTCCGGTGTGCCGGCCCATGTGTGTCTGCAGGACCACCTTCTGGTTAAACGCCTTCCCACAGTGAGAACACTTATACGGCCTCTCACCTGCAGAACACAGACACACACGCTCAGACACACACACACGGCAGAACACAGACACACACGCTCAGACACACACACACACACACACACCTGTGTGGATGCGTATGTGCCGCACGAGCTGGCTGGGCTTCTTGAAGGTCTTCCCGCAGTGGTGGCAGATGTTCTTGAATCCTCTGCGGTCGATGTTCTTGTAGTTCCTCGAGCTCGTCAGGATTGGCCTGAAGATGAACGAGGATCAGACTGTGAGCGACACAGACACTGGTATACACACTCAACATGTAGAGCACAGACACTGGTATACACACTCAACATGTAGAGCAGAGACACTGGTATACACACTCAACATGTAGAGCACAGACACTGGTATACACACTCAACATGTAGAGCACAGACACTGGTATACACACTCAACATGTAGAGCACAGACACTGGTATACACACTCAACATGTAGAGCACAGACACTGGTATACACACTCAACATGTAGAGCAGAGACACTGGTATACACACTCAACATGTAGAGCACAGACACTGGTATACACACTCAACATGTAGAGCAGAGACACTGGTATACACACTCAACATGTAGAGCAGAGACACTGGTATACACACTCAACATGTAGAGCAGAGACACTGGTATACACACTCAACATGTAGAGCACAGACACTGGTATACACACTCAACATGTAGAGCAGAGACACTGGTATACACACTCAACATGTAGAGCAGAGACACTGGTATACACACTCAACATGTAGAGCAGAGACACTGGTATACACACTCAACATGTAGAGCAGAGACACTGGTATACACACTCAACATGTAGAGCAGAGACACTGGTATACACACTCAACATGTAGAGCACAGACACTGGTATACACACTCAACATGTAGAGCACAGACACTGGTATACACACTCAACATGTAGAGCAGAGACACTGGTATACACACTCAACATGTAGAGCAGAGACACTGGTATACACACTCAACATGTAGAGCAGAGACACTGGTATACACACTCAACATGTAGAGCAGAGACACTGGTATACACACTCAACATGTAGAGCACAGACACTGGTATACACACTCAACATGTAGAGCAGAGACACTGGTATACACACTCAACATGTAGAGCAGAGACACTGGTATACACACTCAACATGTAGAGCAGAGACACTGGTATACACACTCAACATGTAGAGCACAGACACTGGTATACACACTCAACATGTAGAGCAGAGACACTGGTATACACACTCAACATGTAGAGCAGAGACACTGGTATACACACTCAACATGTAGAGCAGAGACACTGGTATACACACTCAACATGTAGAGCACAGACACTGGTATACACACTCAACATGTAGAGCAGAGACACTGGTATACACACTCAACATGTAGAGCAGAGACACTGGTATACACACTCAACATGTAGAGCACAGACACTGGTATACACACTCAACATGTAGAGCACAGACACTGGTATACACACTCAACATGTAGAGCACAGACACTGGTATACACACTCAACATGTAGAGCAGAGACACTGGTATACACACTCAACATGTAGAGCAGAGACACTGGTATACACACTCAACATGTAGAGCAGAGACACTGGTATACACACTCAACATGTAGAGCAGAGACACTGGTATACACACTCAACATGTAGAGCACAGACACTGGTATACACACTCAACATGTAGAGCAGAGACACTGGTATACACACTCAACATGTAGAGCACAGACACTGGTATACACACTCAACATGTAGAGCACAGACACTGGTATACACACTCAACATGTAGAGCACAGACACTGGTATACACACTCAACATGTAGAGCACAGACACTGGTATACACACTCAACATGTAGAGCACAGACACTGGTATACACACTCAACATGTAGAGCACAGACACTGGTATACACACTCAACATGTAGAGCACAGACACTGGTATACACACTCAACATGTAGAGCACAGACACTGGTATACACACTCAACATGTAGAGCACAGACACTGGTATACACACTCAACATGTAGAGCAGAGACACTGGTATACACACTCAACATGTAGAGCACAGACACTGGTATACACACTCAACATGTAGAGCACAGACACTGGTATACACACTCAACATGTAGAACAGAGACACTGGTATACACACTCAACATGTAGAGCACAGACACTGGTATACACACTCAACATGTAGAGCAGAGACACTGGTATACACACTCAACATGTAGAGCACAGACACTGGTATACACACTCAACATGTAGAGCACAGACACTGGTATACACACTCAACATGTAGAGCAGAGACACTGGTATACACACTCAACATGTAGAGCACAGACACTGGTATACACACTCAACATGTAGAGCACAGACACTGGTATACACACTCAACATGTAGAGCACAGACACTGGTATACACACTCAACATGTAGAGCAGAGACACTGGTATACACACTCAACATGTAGAGCAGAGACACTGGTATACACACTCAACATGTAGAGCAGAGACACTGGTATACACACTCAACATGTAGAGCACAGACACTGGTATACACACTCAACATGTAGAGCAGAGACACTGGTATACACACTCAACATGTAGAGCAGAGACACTGGTATACACACTCAACATGTAGAGCACAGACACTGGTATACACACTCAACATGTAGAGCACAGACACTGGTATACACACTCAACATGTAGAGCAGAGACACTGGTATACACACTCAACATGTAGAGCAGAGACACTGGTATACACACTCAACATGTAGAGCAGAGACACTGGTATACACACTCAACATGTAGAGCACAGACACTGGTATACACACTCAACATGTAGAGCACAGACACTGGTATACACACTCAACATGTAGAGCAGAGACACTGGTATACACACTCAACATGTAGAGCACAGACACTGGTATACACACTCAACATGTAGAGCACAGACACTGGTATACACACTCAACATGTAGAGCAGAGACACTGGTATACACACTCAACATGTAGAGCACAGACACTGGTATACACACTCAACATGTAGAGCAGAGACACTGGTATACACACTCAACATGTAGAGCAGAGACACTGGTATACACACTCAACATGTAGAGCACAGACACTGGTATACACACTCAACATGTAGAGCACAGACACTGGTATACACACTCAACATGTAGAGCACAGACACTGGTATACACACTCAACATGTAGAGCACAGACACTGGTATACACACTCAACATGTAGAGCACAGACACTGGTATACACACTCAACATGTAGAGCACAGACACTGGTATACACACTCAACATGTAGAGCAGAGACACTGGTATACACACTCAACATGTAGAGCACAGACACTGGTATACACACTCAACATGTAGAGCACAGACACTGGTATACACACTCAACATGTAGAGCACAGACACTGGTATACACACTCAACATGTAGAGCACAGACACTGGTATACACACTCAACATGTAGAGCACAGACACTGGTATACACACTCAACATGTAGAGCACAGACACTGGTATACACACTCAACATGTAGAGCACAGACACTGGTATACACACTCAACATGTAGAGCACAGACACTGGTATACACACTCAACATGTAGAGCACAGACACTGGTATACACACTCAACATGTAGAGCACAGACACTGGTATACACACTCAACATGTAGAGCAGCAGACACTGGTATACACACTCAACATGTAGAGCACAGACACTGGTATACACACTCAACATGTAGAGCACAGACACTGGTATACACACTCAACATGTAGAGCACAGACACTGGTATACACACTCAACATGTAGAGCACAGACACTGGTATACACACTCAACATGTAGAGCACAGACACTGGTATACACACTCAACATGTAGAGCAGAGACACTGGTATACACACTCAACATGTAGAGCACAGACACTGGTATACACACTCAACATGTAGAGCACAGACACTGGTATACACACTCAACATGTAGAGCACAGACACTGGTATACACACTCAACATGTAGAGCACAGACACTGGTATACACACTCAACATGTAGAGCACAGACACTGGTATACACACTCAACATGTAGAGCACAGACACTGGTATACACACTCAACATGTAGAGCACAGACACTGGTATACACACTCAACATGTAGAGCACAGACACTGGTATACACACTCAACATGTAGAGCACAGACACTGGTATACACACTCAACATGTAGAGCAGAGACACTGGTATACACACTCAACATGTCAGAGCACAGACACTGGTATACACACTCAACATGTAGAGCACAGACACTGGTATACACACTCAACATGTAGAGCAGAGACACTGGTATACACACTCAACATGTAGAGCACAGACACTGGTATACACACTCAACATGTAGAGCAGAGACACTGGTATACACACTCAACATGTAGAGCACAGACACTGGTATACACACTCAACATGTAGAGCACAGACACT